TATGCGAGTCTTCATTAGCCTAGTCGGAGCAGAACAGTAGGAGGAAGTTAACCCCCATTTCATTTCATTTCATTTAACGTATCAAGGGTTCACCGTAGAACCGGATTCTTGTCTCACATCACTGAAAATGGCATTTCGGTGCTTCTGGTTTTCGAAATTTTCAGTGATTTCGCCTCCCGTGCGTCCCCTATCCATAGTCTCTGGATCTGCCCTTGCATATATTGTAGGTTAGAGGTCATATATAGAGACGAGTGTATACTATGTATACTATAAAGGCGTTGTGCGTCACCCGTATACATGTTGTGTGTTGATCGCTGATTATAGAAACCATTGTATTTATATTGATCAAAACGAATGTTACTTGATCTTTACAATATAATATAAACAATATAAATGAGTACTTACATCTCCCGACATCGTTATTCCTTACAACAATTAATACTCCGATTCTCAGCCGGATGTATTGCTATGGGTAACCCCCTATATTAATGACGCGCATTTCAAGTCTCTTTGACAACACTGTTAATACTATTGTAGAGACTGGAAAATCGAGACTTTGCCCATCACCCACTTTCTAACAATACCAGCATCCGGCTGACATAGTTGAGTACCTAGTGACTCAATGTACTTGGTTTATTTCAAGCGATACCATCCAATAGATGTAGCGATAATATTTAGATAAAATTAGACTTTGAATGAAATAATTACAATCAAATATTTCATAAACTAGATGTTCTATAATGTTTATATTTAAGATCAATCACAGATTAACTTTAATAACCAAGGCGGTATTTTATCTATAGAAATGTAACCAATGCAAAATTTTATCCACAGTTTATTTGAAAATAGTGTGTATACAAATATATCTAACGCTAAGCGTTAGCTCTCTTTTCAAACGTGTAGGGGGGTTGGATGGCCGAATTGTTAGCACGTGCGCGCTTCGCTGTATCATACGGTCTTTCATTGAGTCAACTGGCGGTGTTTCGATTCCCCGGTTGTACGTGACAAGGAGTAGGGTCGCCTGTCCAACCTCGTGGGTTTTCTCCGGGTCCACCGGTTTCCTCCCACTGCTAAAGAAATAAAATTGAACCATGTGTTTGTCCCGAAATGACCTAGTTTGTATCGAGTGGACGTTAAACCCCATTTCTCTCTCTTTCAAACGTGTTAATTTTGCTCTATGTTCCGAGTGTGGAAAACCCGGTGACTCATGCATGCTTTGAAAAATATCTGGAGTAAGACTACTGTGGGATATAAACATATATTTTAAGTTTCAGCAAAATCGTATTACATACTTTTACACTATTTGCGTAAAGGGGGAGGAGGCATATTGTCGAGCAGCTTCTGTCCGATTTTTATAAAATTCGAAGTCAGCCATCATTATGGTGTAACGTTGATTTAAAACATAGATATGACGTCACCCTTTGGTGTTTTTAACCAGTATATAGGAGAATGTACGCTTTTCTTAAACAATCGTCTATTATTTATAAAACTGTCCATTGTTTATTGAAAATAATGGACAGGTTTACAAATAATAGACACTTATTTGAAAAATGAACATGTATTTTGGGATAATTTATTCTCTGTACAGTACAAAACATGAAATTACTTTAAAACTTCATAGTTACCGAAATGTCAAATGACCGAATGTTGATTTCACGTGTTTGTCTACATAAATAATTCCTTTATATCCGCCCGTTATATGTCACTTGTCCGTTTAATAGTACGTTGGGCACTAGATCAATGATACGTTTTTATACGCCCACATTTTCACACCGTCTTTGTGGACACACTACAGGTCATAACTTGAAATATAGGTATATATCCCAAAGATCTCGATTCCTTTCGATATTGGCTTGTATGGGACCGTAACTTCGTGGATTATGGCCCCTGATTGTACACACTAGAAGTCACAATTTTTAGCCCATTTTGAGGAAACTGTGTTTATAACCCAAAGATCTCGATTTCTTGCGATATTGGCGGATATCGGACCGTAACATCCTGGATTATGACCCCTGATTGAACAAAAAACGTGTTTTGAGCCTTTACGGGGTTCACATAGCCATCAATTTTTCACTCTGTAGAAATGTTCATATTCGTATGTCCTCGGTCCATACTATTCATTCGAATAGGAGTGTGTACACCGTTTACCAGGGCATTCCATTTGTTGACGGACGAAAGGAGGCGAGGATATATTACGCCCATGCTTCAATGCCGAGGAGGGGCATATAAGTGGTATCAGTTGTTCTAGGAAAATTAAACATACTCTGCACTAACTTTTTGTTCTCATCTATATGTACTTTAGCGGGGTTAGATGGTCGAATGGTTAGCACGTGCGCGCTGTATCATAAAGTCTGTCATTGAGTCAACTGGCGTGGTTTCGTTTCCCCGGTTGTACGTGACAAGGAGTAGGGTGGCCTGTCCAACCTCGTGGGTTTTCTCCGAGTCCTCCGGTTTCCTCCTAGTGCTAAAGACTCCTACGCGTGTACAAGGTTCTTAAAACAATTGTTGAGTTGCCCAACGAGCGTGTTTCTAAAATCAATTTCTTGTTCCAGCTTTCTGGTATGTTTCGTAATAAAGTAGTCTTGATTATCCCGGCCTGTCAATCAGACGGAGAATGATGGGTAGACTGGTTAAGCGAGACTATTTTCAAAACAAGGGCATGTAACCTATTTTCATTCAAATGTGCCCGAATTTTATGACCGACACTCGTAACCATTTTTCAGTCTATTATTTATTGATGGTTAAATGGTCATAGCTTATTAATTATAACATGACCGTTTATTTAGTGAATATAAATGTGCGAAACTGATATAAAAGCTTGTTTAATTGTCGAGTTATTTGGAGATAGCTATTTATGGTTGGGCACCCTAACAAAAGACAACTTCATTCGCAGATCCTACTGCAGTGAAGGCAAGTAAAACGAAATTTTGAACTCTAAAAAACGAAACGAAAAAGAATCTGTGTTTTAATCAGATTGTCTCGTTTTGAACTGTAAATTTACTTACAAATCTCACATACGATCTCCACTTGAATCTTATGTGTAGGACTAGCAGGATACCCGGCTTCGCTCGGGGGTCATAACTCCGAAACCGGAAGTGGTAGACTTACGCCACCTGGTCTATGTTACTCCCCGGTCCGAGCTACCCCTATACCCCAAATTTCAGACTCGGAGCAGATGTAGCCGCCAACCCCGAACAGACAGACTTCGCTCGGGGGTCATAACTCCGAAACCGGAAGTGATAGACTAACGCCACCTAGCCTATGTTACTCCCCGGTCTGAGCTACCCCTATACCCCAAATTTCAGACTTGGGGCAGACCTAGTGTAGCCGCATACCCCGAACAGACCGGCTTCGCTCGGGGGTCATAACTCCGAGACCGGAAGTGGTAGACTAACGCCACCTGGCCTATGTTACTCCCCGGTCCGTGCTACCCCAAGACCCCAAATTTCAGACTCGGGGCAGACCTAGTGTAGCCGCCAACCCCGAACAGACAGACAGACAGACAGAAAAAGGACAGTCACAAATATATATATAGATAAATTGTTGTAATTTATGTAATTCACATAAAATCTTAAAATAACAAGTACAGAAACGATCAAACGGAATTGATAAATCGGAAATCGGAATTAATAGGGCGCTGTCCACATGGGCGTCACACATTGGGGGTCCGGGGGGGGAGGGGGTCCTGCCCTATTTATTTACAACAATTATTAGGATTAGTTAAGATTTATCTGCATAAAACCTGTACATATCCCAATATGTTGGTGTGATGTTTTAGTTTAACCCCGTAAAATATGCCAAAACAGTGTTTACAGAAGATTGAAACTTTAAATTTGTTTTATGGGGGGAGGGTGATCCTCCTACACCCTCCCTGTCGCGCTACATCGGCTGCTGCGCAGCCTCGCGCCTCCGGCGTCACAGATTGTCAACATTTTATATAATTTCATTTGCCCCCCCCCCACATTATATATTTCACGGCTACGCCTCTGGCTGTCCACATCATATATTATTAGGTCAATACGGCAGTGCTAGGAGAGTCCGAATAACGACACATATTAAGTGTAGTTGTGATTACAGTATACCGTTCTCAGAATTTGAGGATGTTCGAGTAACGACACTTGTAAGTGTAGTTGTGATTTAAAAAACAAACGTCCTCGGAATGAAAGGATACAGACTGAGATTTACTGCAATGAAATAATATAATTTTAAAATCAAAATACAAATAAGAATTTATTTTAGTTTCAGAATACATGACTAGATTTATTGTAATCAAAATAATTTTTATAATTTAAAAATTAAAATACAAATATGAATTTATTTTAATTTCAGAATATAGATACATATTTATTGTAATCAAAATATAATTTTAAAATCAAAATACAAATTAGAGTTTAATTTAATTTTAAAATACTGATATACATTTTTTTGTAATTAAATTCATATTCCAGTTAGGAAAGAGCTAAATGAGTATAATAAAATAGCACGTATGACATTGGTAATAAAACGTATATAAATATAAGTATATGATGTTAAGTATATGCTTTGTGACATATATCAATTAAATCTCGACAGTAGTAGTGATACAATGAATCTGAATCGTTCAGTTTGATGTAAATCAAGTGAGATGCAAATGGCATCTGGTAGGTGTTAGTAATAAAGAGAGAGAAATGGGGTTTAACGTCCACTCGACCATAACTAGGTCATTTCGGGACTAACGTATGGTTTAATTATATTTCAATCATTCGCTTGCGCGTAGGTGTCTTTAGTAGTGGGAGGAAACCGGAGGACCTGGAGAAAACCCACGAGGTTGGACAGGCAACCCTACTCCTTGTCACGTACAACCGGGGAATCGAAACCCCGCAAGTTGACTCAATGACAGGCCGTATGATACAGCACGCACGTGCTAACCATTCGGCCATCCACCACCCCCACCCCCCCGTGTTAGTAATAAACCATATAATACAAGTATATATACTCTTCAAAAAAAAGAAACGCACAGCCCATTTTTCATTTTTTTATTTGAACGAGATCGTTGTTTCCATAAATCTTATTTGTTTTTAATGTCATTAAGGATAAAAGAAATTCATTATTGGTTTTAAATGTAGGGTCACTAATAATGACTAGTCATCCTTTATGCCGAAATTTGTGTTCGCTTGATTGCACCAAGACATATGAATTTAACAACGAGCTTTTCGCATGGAACCTAAATCTAAAGCCTTTAAAATCCCGGGGTTCCCGGTTTCGAAATCCGTTGCACATGTAAACACTCAAAGAACCAAGTGGTGCCACATCTGAACGAAGACCAACGCAACAATGCTCTTGGTCGATTACAAGCAGTTGAATCCCAGACAGATGTAGCCAGACTGTTGAATGTTCCCTGAGTTCTATTTTACGCCTTTGGGATAGGTACCGAGAGCGAAGTTCAACACGTGACCACCCAAGCTCAGGCCAAACAAGAGTGACCCCACCTGTCCTGGATCGCCACTTCCGGTTACGTCATTGGCGGAAACGGTTCTCCACAGCGACCTCTACTGCAGCAACAGTTCCCGGACGGCGTATAATCTCAGACCAGACAGTCCGTAAACGCCAACGTGAAACCGGATTACGAGCCAGGCGTCCCTGTTACAGCTCCTGTTTTGAAATACGCCGACGTCGTGAAATCCAACTTCAGTGGGTTCAGACACAAAGGGTATGGCCACAGCAACACTGGAGAGCAGTTTGGTTCAACGACGTGTCGCGGTTCCTGTTGTAACGAGGCGATGGTAGAGCAAAGATATACCGACGACAAAATGTCACATGGCGTTTTTTTTTTTTGGAGAGTCTATTATGATGTTACATACACATGTTGTTTTATGACATATATTAATTGACTAGCAGGATACCCGGCTTCGTTCGGGGGTCATAACCCCGGAACCGGAAGTGGTAGACTAACGCCACCTGGCCTATGTTACTCCCCGGTCCGAGCTACCCCTATACCCCAAGTTTCAGACTCGGGACAGACCTAGTGTAGCCGCCAACCCCGAACAGACAGGCTTCGCTCGGGGGTCATAACCCCGAAACCGGAAGTGGTAGACTAACGCCACGTGGCCTATGTTACTCCCCTATACCCCAAATTTCAGACTCGGGGCAGACCTAGTGTAGCCGCCAGACAGACAGACAGACAGAAAAAGAGACAGACAAACGAAAGTCACAAATATTAGTATAGATAGATGTAATTAAATCTCGACGGTAGTATGATCAAATAAATCCAAAAGTTCAGATTAATTAGCATTATGACTGATCCCAGGCGTTGATCTGATCTGCGACCTTACAAATAAACAATAGATAAAAATACAAACCAAAATTGAGGCTGATTACCCCCGTAACGTTTAGTCTGATCCGCGAACTATTTATAGCTAATCAGCATCTCCGTTTACAAATAAACAATAGACAAAATAGTCAGAAGTGAGGCTGATTTCTCCCGCCTTAATTCCAAAATAAATAGACGACAAATAATAAATAATTATACTTTAACTATGTTTACTCAACATCCAACTTATTGCCTCATAAATAGCCACGTCATGTTAATCGAGAGTTTTATTTTGAAGACTAGGAATAGATTGCTATTTTTGCAGACAAAATTTTAGCAACCACTGTAATCAAACTTTAGACATATAAAGGTCGGTTGCTATGGGTTGATATTATGTAGGTCTATCTTTATATTCTAGTGATGATTTCTGAAAAAAAAAAAACAACGTGTGATCAGATACATTCCGTTCTAATACGTAAATCATAGTCAATTTGAACAGATTCGCGTACTATAAGATATTAGTTACGAAAATTCTTGCTATTCTTCAAATATGTAGTAATCGATTTTATGCGTATAAGTTGTTTATGTATGTTGAATACAAAAACGTCAGTGGTATCAATATTGACAGTTTAGTCCGTTAACTGAAGTGCAGCAAGAATTTTTGTTTACGGTAATATTCCATTCCTTGGTTTAGAATATTGGCTAACCAAAGCCGTGAACCCGTTATCTCCGGTCTACACAACCGCGGGTTTCATCATGGCAGTCCAATTCAAATGAATTTGTGTTTTTGAATCGCAGATTTCTACTTGAAAATAGTGTTGAATTATTATAAATTTGTGTTAGATTTGTCGAGAAATGATTCCATTTGGCGAATAAAGAAGAATCCAGGTGAACAATAGAAGGTAACGATTCCAAAATAGCCCTGGAACAAAGGTAGTGAAAAATGTTATTTTCATATTCATATAACGTTAAGAGGCCAGCTTCTATCAGACATCGTCACTAAAGTACCTAATGTAGACCTTATTATCGTAAAGCCCGTCACCAGTGCAATATTATATACACAAAGAAAAAAATAAGCACCTTACGTATTTTTTTACAATGACTTGTTACTAAGTTTGGCGCTGAGACCCTGATAATATAACCTCGGACAAACAAATTTGATTTGCAAAAATAGATCTTTGACAATAAGAAAACATATACAGTTTATCCAATTTTTCTTATTTCAATCACCATTATGAAAAAAAATCCAAGATGCCGTATTTAAGCCAAAAAGGAGTCACAATAAGCGTGAAGTCGCAGAGTCAGAAACACAATTCAACATCGTGATTGAAGATGAAAATGTCATTTAGATTCCACGGATGACGTTGGTGACACAAATCACCAATAGCTGTTTTACCCATTATTGATGATATGCACCTTCATACTTTCACAATCATGATTCAAATCTGAAAATTGGACAAACTCTAAATGTTTTCTTATTGTCAATGATCTATTCTTGCAAACCACATTTGTTTTTCCGATATTATGTTTTCCAGGTTTCAGCGCCAAGCCTAATAGGACAAGTCATTGTAAAAAATACATCGGGTGGGTGCTTAACTTTTTTCTTTGTGTGTATGTCGACCTATTAGTACATCCGTCGTCAGTGTAATGATGGATATTCTGTAGACATTACTATTATAACGTCGACCTGTTAGCATGTTCGTCATCAGTGTAATGATGAATAATGTGCAGACCTTACGATTGACACGCCCACCATTAGTGTAATATTTTATACGTTCGTGGGCTTAGTACAAATCGAACAAAATAGCAGGCGACAATGGTCATTCCTGTATAAGTTTTAAGAAATATTGTGACCATTGAAATATAGTTTTGATCTTAAGAGTGCTGGCAAGCCTTGGACGAAGAGTTAAAAAAGAATTTGAAACATCTCAAAAAATGATGCAACAATTTTAACTGGGGACTTGACATCAGCCTGTAGATGCAGTAATATTGTTCAACCTCCTTACAGGAGGCTGCCAATTTCTGTGGCGCAAGATGCAGAACTTACCGTTAGAACGCCTATCATCAGGGTAATAGTATGTATACCTTACTATCAATCTGATTAAAACACCGATCCTATTTCGTTTCGTTTTTTATAGTTCAAAATGTCGTTTTCCTTGTCTTTACTTCACTAGGATATGGAAGAGTTATTATATAACCCGCGTTCTAGATCATGTGAGGGATTAGCCAATGAAACGGTCTGCTACGACAAGTTTTTGGTGCGAAGTGCACAGAACTGTTGGTAACCTACAAATCAACGCTGATTGGTTAATCAAATGTCTGACGTCATAGGGTCAAATGTCTCTCGTATGACCTCTGACCGGTCAGATCTTCATGAAAGTATAAAAAACGAATCGAAATATAGATCTGTATTTTAATCAGATTGACCTTACTATTGTAACATTTGTCACCAGTGTAATAGTATGTAGACCTTACTATTGTAACATCTGTCACCAGTGTAATAGTAGGTTTATCAACGCCAGTCATCAGTGTAATAGTATGTAGACCTTACTATTGTAACATCTGTCACCAGTGTAATAGTATGTAGACCTTACTATTGTAACATCTGTCACCAGTGTAATAGTATGTAGACCTTACTATTGTAACATCTGTCACCAGTGTAATAGTAGGTTTATCAACGCCAGTCATCAGTGTAATAGTATGTAGACCTTACTATTGTAACATCTGTCACCAGTGTAATAGTATGTAGACCTTACTATTGTAACATCTGTCACCAGTGTAATAGTATGTAGACCTTACTATTGTAACATCTGTCACCAGTGTAATAGTAGGTTTATCAACGCCAGTCATCAGTGTAATAGTATGTAGACCTTACTATTGTAACATCTGTCACCAGTGTAATAGTATGTAGACCTTACTATTGTAACATCTGTCACCAGTGTAATAGTATGTAGACCTTACTATTGTAACATCTGTCACCAGTGTAATAGTAGGTTTATCAACGCCAGTCATCAGTGTAATAGTATGTAGACCTTACTATTGTAACATCTGTCACCAGTGTAATAGTATGTAGACCTTACTATTGTAACATCTGTCACCAGTGTAATAGTAGGTTTATCAACGCCAGTCATCAGTGTAATAGTATGTTGACCTTACTATTGTAACATCTGTCACCAGTGTAATAGTATGTAGACCTTACTATTGTAACATCTGTCACCAGTGTAATAGTAGGTTTATCAACGCCAGTCATCAGTGTAATAGTATGTAGACCTTACTATTGTAACATCTGTCACCAGTGTAATAGTATGTAGACCTTACTATTGTAACATCTGTCATCAGTGTAATAGTATGTAGACCTTACTATTGTAACATCTGTCACCAGTGTAATAGTAGGTTTATCAACGCCAGTCATCAGTGTAATAGTATGTAGACCTTACTATTGTAACATCTGTCACCAGTGTAATAGTATGTAGACCTTACTATTGTAACATCTGTCACCAGTGTAATAGTAGGTTTATCAACGCCAGTCATCAGTGTAATAGTATGTAGACCTTACTATTGTAACATCTGTCACCAGTGTAATAGTATGTAGACCTTACTATTGTAACATCTGTCACCAGTGTAATAGTAGGTTTATCAACGCCAGTCATCAGTGTAATAGTATGTAGACCTTACTTTTGGAACGCCTGTCGTCAGTGTAATAATATGTATATCAACGCCTGTCATCAGTGTATACATTAATATTAGAACGCCCTACTTAATAATAATTACATGATGTAGAAGGTTGTATTAGTATATCCAGTCCTGTATAATAATATAATGACTTACCTCTGGTAATCCTCCTCACTATAAAATAATTATGAAATATTTATTAGCATCAAATATAATTATGTAATATTTATTAGCATCAAATATAATTATGTAATATCAAATATAATTATGTAATATTTAATAGCATCAAATATAATTATGTAATATTTATTAGCATCAAATATAAACAGCAAGTTATTCACGATGTAAGGACCCTAAATATCAACACCAGGTTTAATTGTCTCTGTCTAGTATGATTAATTAATAAATTAGAGCACGTTATTCACTATACAAGGGGGATCACGTGGCTAAGTGCGTAAGACGCTAGCTCGCTAGCCTGGAGGTCGGGTGTTCGATCCCTGCATTGGCCGAGAAAGTTCATCCAGATTTTCCGGCGTGGTTCTCCCTTGTCGATGATGCAGGACGGAGGGGCTGACAAGGAAAGCTGTCTAGTCGTTCGGATGGGACGAAAAACCGAGGTCCCGTGTACACATTGGCGTGCACGTAAAAGATCCCTTGGCAGTTGGAATTCGATATAAGAGTAGGCCGTAGTGCCGCTGTCCGGGCAAAATTTCCCTCATAGCACACTGTATGGCGTATGCCCGTCTTCATTAGCCCAGGTTAGGAGCAGAACAGTAGGACGTTAAACTCCATTTCATTTCATTTTAAATGTCAACAGTATTATTATATTTTTAAAAACTAATTCTAAATAGTTATTTTACTATTGAGAATACTTTTAGTATTTAAAGCTATTGATCCGATAGATTAAATTATATGTATTATTGTGTTATTTGAAAGAAAACAGCTTTGCCTGTCGAAAGTCTTATGCAATGTTAAGACATTTCTCCAGAATTTCACAGAGATCGAATAATATTGACCTGAAATGTCATAGCACAATTTTCTCTTTTTCCAAATTATTCATGGAATTGATGACATCTTACAGAGCAGCGCGTTTGCATTCGATTTAGTATATAGGTCTATAACATCTTATTCTATGAGAGGTAACGGCTAACGGCTGTCCTCTAAATCATTTTCAATTAGTAAGATTGTGTAGCAAGAAAGATCTAGGCTATTTTCATATACATTATTAATAATTAGGCCTGACCACAGTTTTAACCGTTTATTTATCATATTGTTTTCATCCTGAACTTCAAGTTTGTGGACAGCCGAATTCAAAGTTAGCTAGCAGAAAACAAATATATAAATAATTGAAAAAACTCACCTAATATACTCGAAGTTCCTATTCAAGAAAGAATTATAATTTTATTAATTTACAAACACATTCAAAAAGAAATAGAATAATGTATTAATATAATATGGAGAAATGGGTTTAGCAATAAATATCTAACTTTGGTATGGTAATAACAGAAAGGTTATCATCACTAAACTTATATTAGTCGTTCGGATGGGAATAAAAACCGAGATCTCTTGTACACATAAGCGTACATGTAAGTGATCTCTTGACAGTTGAAATTTGAAGTACGCGTAGTCACAAAGTTCCTCATATCACATATCTTCATTAGCCCAGTCGGTGTAGAAAAGTGGGACGTCAAAGCATATTTCATTTAAGTTGGGGGGGGGGGGGTGAATGGCTAACGCGTGTGCGTTGGATCAGAGGTTCTGTCAGTTGGCGTGGTTTCGATTACCCACTTGTTCGTGACAAGGAGTAGCGTCACCTGTCAAATTTAATGTGTTTTCTCCGAGTCCACCTGGTTCTTCCTACTGCTAAAGACCCCTATATTATGTTAGTCCCGAAATATATATTATGTGGCGGTAGGAGGTGTGAATTTAGGGGTGGCAAAAGGGACATTGTCAAACTCTGCCATCCAAGAAAAGTAATACAATTTTTGAATGTATGTCCAGTTTTGTTAACAGATTGTACCCCCCCCCCCTGGGTAATACACACTAATTCGAACATCAACTAGACCATTTCAAGACCGACATGTGGCTCTCATCTTCATTACGAAACCTCTCAGAGAAAACTCACGAGGTTATTCACGGTACAATCCGGGACCAAACCACGTCTCTTTAACCGATGACACACCTTATTTTCTAAAGGGCACTCGACAACAGCCCCAGCCCCTTCACCTCATGAATAAAGTATAATAAGATTAGTTAGTGTGGTTAATTAATCAAAGCGACATTAAATTTTCGTTGAGGCTCCTCTCAACGTCATCAAGCGAAATACTTATTATCGTTTATACATATCTTATCTTTAAGCCACTTGAGAAAGTGCATATAGACTATACGTCATCAGATGAAGTTATCCGGCTATCAATATAGAAACTCATTTAAACATCATCTTACCTCATACACCTGTAATAAAAGCAATCAATATTTATTATTATTTAAAACAATTATGTAAAGCAGCAACTCCACAATATTAGAACTGATATATTTCTATATTATTGTTATATTCTCCATAATATTAGAATTACATATATCATTTTATGCTTAATACAGTATTACAATTACATATATTATTTTATATTAAATATAAAATATAATTTTATATAAATATAATTTAATATTTTATATTAAATGAATTATATTTTCCATAATATTAGAATTACATATATCATTTTATGCTTAATACAGTATTACAATTACATATATTATTTTATATTAAATATAAAATATAATTTTATATAAATATAATTTAATATTTTATATTAAATGAATTATATTTTCCATAATATTAGAATTGATTTATTTCAATATAATTATTATATTCTCCATAATATTAGAATTGAAATATTTCTATATAATTATTATATTCTCCATAATATTAGAATTGATATATTTCTATATAATTATTATATTTTCCACAATATTAGAATATATATATATTTCTATATAATTATTATATTTTCCACAATATTAGAATATATATATATATTTCTATATAATTATTATATTCTCCATAATATTAGAATTGATATATTTCTATATAATTATTATATTTTCCACAATATTAGAATTGATATATTTCTATATAATTATTATATTTTCCACAATATTAGAATATATATATATTTCTATATAATTATTATATTTTCCACAATATTAGAATATATATATATATTTCTATATAATTATTATATTTTCCATGATATTAGAATTGATATATTTCTATATAATTATTATATTTTCCATGATATTAGAATTGATATATTTCTATATATTTATCATATGTTCCATATTAGAATTGATATATTTCTATATAATTATCATATTTTCCATGATATTAGAATTGAAATATTTCTATATAATTATCATATGTTCCATATTAGAATTGAAATATTTCTATATAATTATCATATGTTCCATATTAGAATTGATATATTTCTATATAATTATCATATTTTCCATGATATTAGAATTGAAATATTTCTATATAAATATCATATGTTCCATATTAGAATTGATATATTTCTATATAATTATCATATGTTCCATATTAGAATTGATATATTTCTTTATAACTATTATATTCTCCATAATGTTACAATTACATATATTATTCTTTATCATCCAATAATACATTCTACACTAGATATCGATTGTGTGATAAATGTCATAATCTACTGTGATGTATTCTTAGAAAATATCGCTTTAAATGAATTTGATTGGTCAATCAAAAAGGAACTACTTTTTTTTATTTTCAAAGAACAGTTCATTTTTTATTTTCAAAGAACAGTTCATTTTTTATTTTAAGTAACTTCTTTCTTATTAAAAAGGAACTATTTTTATTCAATTGGCCTTGATGAAAACACTGGGTCAATAAAAAGGACTTTGCAATGGTTGAATTGCTGTCAAAAAATGATATATCACTAATGTAATCGGGTTCAATAAAAGTGAAATCTTTAGCAAAGAATTATATTTATATGTCTGTGCATATAAGAAAGGATTGAGTGATAAATAAAATCCCTTACTCGCCTTTTTTTGGTATCAATTAGATGTATTATTTCATTTCAATTTAAACTTTAGGGTCCGTGATAATAATTACATGATGTATATAATCAATAATGTTGTATTGTTGTATAATATAATGATGTATTCTGTTGTATTATCATTCTAATATTAATATAATCAATTCTGTATAATAATATAATGACTTACAACTGGTACGTCTTCTCACTATAAAACAAACAAATATATAATATTTATTAACATCAAATATAATCATGATTAAAACATACAGTATAAAATATAAATAAAAGATCAATAGTGATTAGGTTTTATGATTAATTAATAAATTAGAGCAACTTATTCACTATTCAAGAACGTTAAATGTCAACACAATTAATGTATACCACTGTGTATTATAATTATATGACTTACCTGATACGCCTCTCAGCTCTATGAAACAGAAAAAAATGATTGATATTAAGCATCAACAAACATGAATAAAAACATTTTAATACATAGCTAATTAATATATATACACATGCTAGAAATATCTTACAAATATTAAAGTAACTAAAGTAACAAGTGACGCGTCATTGACATTTCTCGCTAAAATGTCAAATTTCTCACGCCTTAATCTACGCTAATATGTGTCCAAATTGTTTTTTTAACACTAAACAAGCCAACAGTGAGGCTGATGTCCCCCGCCTAAATCCCAAAATAAATAGATGACACACATTAATTAATCGCACTTTTTTTTCTCTCAAACGTATCAAGCAATCAAACTATACACTAAGTTTTATCACTCTCTATCAGATAGAATCAAGATTATCTTTTCCCAAAGCGTTGACCAATGAAATTGATTAGCTCTGCTTAGCTTCAGCTCGAAAGATTAATCATTGAACTCAGTCAAGACATTCACCTAATGAACATCTACATCAAGTCTAAACATTCTACCCCAATTAGAAGGTGAGTTATTGTGTTCCAAAGTCTCGACCGATCAAATTGCTTATCGCTCTGCTTACCCTCAGCAAAAAATATTCATAATCGAACTCAGTCAGGGTATTGATGTAATAAAGCTATACACCAAGTGCCATCACTCTCACTTAATTAGAACTAAAGTTATTGTGTCTCATGTACATCAACCAATCAAATTGCTTATCTCTGCTTACCCTAAGCCGAACATTCTCATCTTCGAACTCCATCAAGGCATTTACCTAATCGACACCTATGCCAAGTGTGAACATTCTAACTCAATTAGAATGAGAGTTATTGTTTTCCATCTCTCGACCAATCAAATTGCTTATCGCTCTGCTTACCCTGAGCAGAAAACGCTTATGGTCAAACTTAGTCAAGGTATGGATGTAATGAAACTATACACCAAGTTTCATCACTCTCACTTAATTAGAACCAATGTTATCGTGTCCCAAACCATCAACTAATCAAATTGCCTATCTCTGCTGACCCTAAGCCAAAAATGCTCATCTTCGAACTCCATCAAAGCATTGACCTAATAAACACCTACACCAAGTTTGAACATTGTAGCTCAATTAGAAAGAGAGTTATTGTGTCCCAAAAAGTGTGACAGACAGGCAGACAGACAGACGGACGAACCCATTTTAATAGTTCCCTGCTTTCTTCGAAAGGCGGGGGACAATTGAGGAAATAAAATCAAAATACCAACACTAGATAATGTCATGACACGGTTTCAATCTGATTTAAAATATGCCTATCATTAAATTGTTGACAACACAATGGCGGCGGGCTTATTGCAAAGCGAGCAGCATAGACCGATGAAATTTTAATTCAACACATCTTTGTAAATACTGAACAGAATTGAACAAAGCTTCTTAATTTCTGATAATTTTTTCATATAAATTGGTTGGTTTTCTAAAATCTAGAAATCGGTACAGAAAATATAGGCAAAATAAAGTTATGTTTGGTTAACACATGAGAAGCTAGTGTTCAGATGGTGTAAATATATTCATCTTTAACACAACTTCAACACCACGAACCTTCCAATACAGAGAGTAAGGTTTGAGGTAGAGTTAGCACAGCGTTACATCGGTGCTACACTGGGCTAACTGGTGTTAAACTCTACACCACCTTAACCCGGGACAAGAAATGGCCCATTGTATGAGCGTCTGAACTTAACGCTCCTGGTAGGCGAATTTCAATTTAGATAGCAGAAAATCAATATAAAAAAAATAATTGTAAAAACTAACCTAATACTCTTCAATGTCCTATATAAGAAAGAAATTTAATTTTATTAATATACAAAAAAACATCCAAAAAGAAATAAGATTGCTTGGTGGAGTGTGATGGCCAACAACGAGGTTGTCCTATTTAGAAATAATTGAAATAGGTAATTGTTGAGCATAGTGATACAAAGAATATATAACGATACAATGTTTTCTAGAGTTCTTTCACGTGCAGGCCATGGTGTAAAAGATGTAACATTTAAGCTAACGACTATTCGTTGATGGAAATATTTTTGTAATAAACGTCAACGATGATTAAATGGTATTTAATATTACATAGAAGAACCGGGGCAAAAAAACAAATATGAAATACGTTTTTTGCTGTAACACAGATTTGTTACCTGGCGAAACTTACATTATATGTGATTAAAAGCCTAATATGTCACCTGAAAGATACACCTTAAACCGTTAACATACCTTACCAACCCCAACTAAACTAACAAACCTATCGTCTGTCGATAATTATAACTTTCTGGGATGAATCTTTAGAAGCTTTCATATTTTTTAAGTGTACACAACAACCAACATACAAATCGTAGGAGCTCTGGTGTGCATCGTTTGAAAGGAAAATATGTTGGCTGTTTCACGTAAGCGGTGAATTTAATAGGCACTAATACAACCAAGATTCCGTGAGAATAGATCTAGTTCACTAATTGTGTTCTTTAAATTATCTTTGATCGTTCGTGATAATAATTACATGATGTAGTATTAGTATATTCCTCTATAATAATATAATGACTTACCACTGATACGTCTTCTCACTATAAAACAAACAAAGATATAATATTTATTAACATCAAATATAAACATGATTAAAACATACAGTATAAAATATCAATAAATGATCAATAGTGATTAGGTTTTATTTTCTCTGTCTAGTATGATTAATTAATAAACCAGAACAAGTTATTCACTATACAAGGACGTTAAATGTCAACACTATTATTATATTCCACTGTATATTATAGTTAGATGACTTACCTGATAATCCCCTCATATCTATAAAACAGAAAAATAATTCATATAAGCATCAGCCATAAACATGATTAAAACATTTTAAACATAGATAATTAATGGTAGAAATATTTTACTCAAATCAATTAAGTAAATTTATATTTGTTGCTAAAATATCAAATTTCATACAGGTTAATCTAAGCCAACATAGATAATTAATAGTATAACCATTTTACTCAAATCAATTAAATAAATTTACATTTGTCGCTAAAATATGAAATTTCTTACGAGTTAATCTACGCTAACATAGACTTAGGTTGATTATTTAACATTTAATTAAAGATACATTTTGGAAAATTAGATAAAGATACATTATGGAAGATGGATAAAGATACACTATGGAAGATGGATAAAGATACACTATGGAAGATGGATAAAGATACACTATGGAAGATGGATAAAGATACACTATGGAAGATTAAAAAAAGATACATTATGGAAGATGGATAAAGATACACTATGGAAGATGGATAAAGATACACTATGGAAGATTAAAAAAAGATACATTATGGAAGCTTAGATAAAGAGCTGACAGTTCGCACTATAATAGTTAATAATAGATAAAATTCTAAGATATTTTTTCTATTAAAATTCTAAAACAGTTTTTCTATTAGAATTCTAAAATAGTTATTATATTATTGAGAAAACATTTTTTTAATACATATCTAAATATTTTATATATTACTGAGAAAACATCTTTTCTAAATATATCTAATTAGCTTTAATATTAGTAAGAAAACATTTCTGAAAAAAATTAATTGATCTATTATTGAAAAAAACATATTTAAAAAGTACATCGAAATAGTTATTTTACTATTGGTGTCTAAAGCTACAATCTGATTAAAATTCAGATGCTATTTCGTTTCGGTTTTTTTTTGTTCAAAAATTCGTTTTGCTTGTCTTCACAACAATAGGACCTGGAAGAATTGTTATATAACCCTCGTTCTGGTTGTTGTGAGGGATTAACCAATGAAACGGTCTGTTACGGTGAGTTCTTGGCGTGGGGTGCACCGAACAGTGGGTAGACCGCTAGAAACGTCAACACTGATTGATTATTCAATGTCTGACGTCATAGGGTCAAAATCCACTCGTATGACCCCTGATACCACCCCCCTTTCCACCGGTCAGATCTTCATGTAGTGTGGCCCATCGAAAGTATAAAAAACGAAACGAAATATAGATCTCTATTTTAATCAGATTGCCTGAAGCTATTAAATGAATTAAAATAATTTATTCGAAAGTCCTATTTTATAGAAGGAAAATTCTCTAGAATTTGAAAATAGTCGAGAAATATTAACCTGAAATCTTGAAGGACAAGCTATTGTGCATGCTATTGGTGACATAAAACCCAATGTCAACTAATTAAAAAGAAAACATGGATGATATCTCACAGAACAACATGTTTGTTTTGGATTTAGTAATATGTACGTCTATATCGTATTACTTTGATTACTATTGATACTAATTCTAGAACATCTTCTGCTTTAAGACTTTTAAACCACCATTAAATCAGGAAGTTGCGATTTGTAAGATTGTTAAATAAATTGGCCTGATTACACTTTTAACCGTTTATTTATTCCCTCTTAACTTCACACCTGTAGACAGTCGAATTTGAATTTAAGTAGCAGAAAATCAATATAGAAGTAAAAACTTACCTCCTATTCACCAAGTCCCTACCCAAGAAAGAAATATAATTTTAGTAGCATACAAAAACATTCAAAAAGAAATATAACTAGAACTGTCCCAGAAACAATCAAACACTTATACATTAATTACAATATTTATTTGATTAATGTGTATTGTTGACCTGTTTCTTTTTAAAGACCACTTAAGATCAAAAATCTAAATTTCATGTATGTATAGCCCATGGTTACTATATCAACTTTAAGGCAAGTTCACACCAATCTGATTAAAATTAAGTCCGCTGTTAACGTTTAAGTATCCGACACGTCAAAGCGCTTTTCGATTTTTCAATTACGACCTTAATCCGGTTGAATGGCTGGTGACGTCACAGGCACTACACATAGGATATACATTATCTATACAATATCTCACCGTATGTACAATATAGCACTATCAATACACACGGCAACTGGACAAGCGTCTATTGACGGTCCAATTACCACGTGACTGGCCTAATCATAATCACCGAATTATCGTCTTTCATTGGTATAGATTAGACATTTGTGATTGGAATATTTTAGAGTGAATTTAAAATGCCATATCATGCCGTAGATCAATTTAAGCTGCCTTTGTTTAAATAGGCCACGTGTCAAATGAAGATGACTCAAGAAATTAGCGCATTTACCGGTAATTTGGATAACCCCGTAATACTTGATATCCCAAACGTAAGTACAGAAATACGCAAATGGTGCCAGTCATTTTGTCGATATATTCATTATTAGCTATATATAATAATAATAACCATTTCTATACATAAAGAACAACTACAGTAAATATGGAATTTTCCGATGACTATGCATAACATGTACAATAGATCGCACTCATTTCTCTGCCAATCAACGCTTGGTATCTTATTATCATGTACCGTTCCATGTACTACGGGTGTAGTAAATGAGGTTAAACTTCGCCGCGAAAATTGCACGAGATCATTCGTGGAGTTCCTGGTGCCGTTTGGTGAGTGATTAAACTGTCAATGCCGTTGTTGTTGTTGTTGTTGTTACAAATTTAACGTCCAATACAAAATGCATGATATTATGGACAGGTTGATTTGATTAAGTTATTTACTTAAATAAAAAATAGAAGTTAGGTAAAAACACTAAATAATAAAAAGTTCTTGTATATCTAAACGTCACTTTAAAACAGATTTAAAATAATTAAAAGTTCTTGTAAATCTAAAAATCACTTTAAAACACGGTTTTATAAATGGCTTGGAAATCGTTGTCGTGGGAAAAGAGGGCGGGTCATCTTCTCACTTTGTCATAATGAAAGTTGAAATAGGAGATGCAATTGTAAAATACTTTTATTATAAAGAAGATAACCGATGTTAGACATTATAACCTAATCGTATGAAAAACGTTAATCTATCCATAAATTAAATGTTGTTTAAACGCCAATCAACAAACAATACGAGGCTACTTGATTACAAAAACACCGGTGAGCAATAATTATTGGGTATATAGTAACTTTAAACAAATTATTAGTAAAATTTAATTTATTTTATACAATTAATGTGTGTGTGTATGATTCTACCATTAGTTCGTTCGTGAGGTATTACGCACACGTTCCACTGAGAGTGATGTCTTTGATCTGACCGGCGTAAAAAAAGATAATTACCTAATCAACATTCTTAATCCCACTAACACTCACTGCTAACACCAACTTGAAATTAATTTATGACCCATGCCTGTATAACTTTTATAGTCGGATTGATTAATTAATGACAGATATTAACGACACTACACTTTATGCAGTAAAAACCACATAACTAGACCCGTATATTTTTTACATATTAAAAGTGTTCGTCCAATAAGTTCCATATTGTAAAAAATTAATTAAGAGTTCAGGACTTCAAAGTTTAAAAGTTGTAGGCACCCTAAATTGGATCTTAAATTAAAATGAATTACGAAACAAATTATTCCGTAGTCAATTGTTTTATTTAATTAGGGGGATTAAGGAATCCTTCAGGCGTTAAAGAATACACACGCCGGCTGTATATAGGTAATTAAGGAATAAACATTCCGAATATGCATTCGGTCACTGTGACGTCACTGGCGTCTGAGGGGATTAAGAGTGTTTTCGATAATTGGCAAAGCCGTTTTTACGGAAGGTCTATTTTTACGACTTTGAATGAAGATAACTGAACTTGCCGTAAAGTGGATATAGTAACCATTGGCTACACGTATCTCAAATCTTCCGGGACCATCTTATGTGCACTTTAAGAATTATTAACTAAGTTATAATGACAGACATTTCACCCGGGCCAAATCTCCCATTTTTAAAAGTTGTTAAAACTTTCAAAATAAGCACCAAATCGTTTGCGATCAACTTGACCTTTAAAATAAATTAATGACGTCAATTAATTAATGACGTCAATTAATCAGAAAAAGAAATCTGCCAACACCGACTGAGTTATACTTATGAAAAACAATCACTGATTTTATTTCACACTACCCATCAGATGTTACCGATGTTATTAAGAGTCTTAAAGAAAACATAATTATTAACTAAGTAATAACGGTAAACATTTCAACCGGGCAAAATATCGCATTATAAAATTTCAAGAGTTGCACAGAAACTTTGTTTATCAACCGATTTTGATAAAACTTTCTGAATATGCATCAATTGACAAAATAATCGTTTATCATCGCCATTTACATAATTTCAAAGTTTTACAAAAGATCTAGTTCAAATATCAAAATTTGTTGTTATTTCACATCTTTGGTCTAATTTACTACATTTTAGACAGGTGATCTAAGAACAGAAAAGGGTTCTACATGGTAAATCCTCTGATATGATTACATTAATAAAAAACATTATTCCTATTTTGTATGAATCAAGACGAATTTCTTCTTTGAGTAGTATTTAGCAATTGATATATGTAATAAACACAATACAATAATACGGAACACAATTAAAGCGACATTAAATTTTCGTTGAGGGTCCTCTCAACATTATCGAGCGACAGATTATTAACGTATGTACATATCTTAACTTCAAGCCACTTGAAAATGTACACGTAAACTATATTTCATTAGTTGAAATAAACCAGCTATATAAAAATTCATTTCAATTATATCTTACCTCATTAACCTATAATAAAAACAATTAATATGTATTAATATTCAAAACAAATATACAGATACACAATATACAAATATACAATATTACAATTGCACATTTATATATAATTATTGGTTTCTCCATAATATTACAATTACATATCTTATTCTATTTGCGTAGTACAATATTAGAATTTATATATTTCTATATAATTGTTATATTCTCCATAATATTACAATTACATATTATATCATTCTATATGCTTAATACAGTATTATAATTAGATATATTATTTTATATTAAATGGTCGTTATTGATAATAACTACATGATGTAGTATTGATAATCTAATATAACGATGTATTGTGTTGTATTATCATTCTAGTATTAGTATATTATTAAATTCTGTATAATAATATAACCACTTACCACTGGTAATCCATTTCACTATAAAGCAAACAAATATATAATATTTATTAACATCAAATATAAACATGATTAAAACACAGAATACAAAATATAAATAAATGATCAATAATGACTAGGTTTTATTGTCTCTGTCCAGTCTGATTAATTAATAAATTTATTCACAATGTAAAGACGTTAATTCTCAACACTATTATTATATTTCACTGTGTATTATAGTTTGATAACTTACCTGATAATCCCGCTATCTCTATAAAACAGAAAAATAATTTATATTAGAATCAACAAACATGATTAAAAACTTACAAGACACAGAAATATTTCATTCAAATCACTTTTATAAGCATCAAAATTAAAGTAACTTAATGATGCGCAATCGGCATTCGTCGATAAAATATGAAATTTCTCACGGCTTAATCCACACCTATATGTGCTCATATTGATTATTTAACATTTAATGAAGAAAACAAACTCAAATACCAAATCTAAATAATGTACCGGCTTGGATTTAATCGGATTTAAAACAGCCTTAGCATTAAAATTTCGTGGGTAATACAATGGCGATGGATTTACTGCAAGGCCAGCAACATAGATCGAACAAATTTCAATTCCACATTTCTGTTTCTGAACGGAATTGAATCATTATTGGACTATTATTCCCATTAGAGATTCATCGTTCACAATATTGTTGTTTGTAAGTGATTCCGTTTGCTTAAAATGGAGCGTGGTTTTAAGCATCGTTATATCATTAGCAATAATTTTAATACATAAAACAATAAAATCTTAACTTTAATTAATTATAAATGGTTATTCTTTTATTGAGAAACTTTCAAAAAATATATTTATATAGTTAATCTAAATATTTATTCTATTATTGAGAAGGATTAAAAAAATATGTAAACGACAAAACTTATTTTGTTATTTGAGAGACGATAGCATTGCCATTCTTATGTCTTATTTAATACAAAGACCTTCCTCTAGAATTAAAAATGGTCGAATATAAACCTGAAATGTCGTAGCACTACTTTCTCTTTTCCTGAATTTTTCATAAAACCAAATGACATGAATGACATCTTACTTTTGAGAGATAACAATCAAATTCTGATTTCTAAACAAGTTTCAATTTGTAAGATTGTGCAACAAGAAAGGTGTAGGCTATTTTCATATACATTATTATTAATTAGGCCTGACCAAAGTTTTTACCGTTTATTTGTCAGATTTTCTTCACCAATATACACACAGTTAACAAAATTATCTAAAAATCCGTTTACACTTGTTGTTCTCATTTGATACACTTCTGAACTTTACGCCCTGTGAATAGGCGAATTTCAATTTAGATAAGAGCACCAATATGGAAATTATTGAAAACCCTTACCTGTCATCCTCCAACAGCCTATTCCAAAAAAGAAATATAATCATATTAATATACAAAAACATTCAAATGTATAAATATTTATACGTTAAGTTTCCCGAAAATCGGATAACAATTACATACTTTTGCACTATTTGCGTACAAGGATCGGCCATTTTTTCGAACAGTTTCGGTTCGATTTAAAAAGCGGATAACAATTGCGATCTATAGATAGGCCCATAATCCAGGAAGTTACGATCGTACAGACAGGTGCCATAATCTATGAAGTTACGGTCCGATATATTGAAAGGAACCAACATCTATATTTCAAGTTCTGTTAACATTGGATAAAAATTGTGACCTGTAGAGTGTCCACAACTAAAAATGTGAACGGAATGTAATCAAACATTAGTCGATTACTCATGCAATTTAACTCACTTTGCCCTCCGTGTAACGCTCACTAGTTCCCGGTTGTTGGATTTCGGCATGATTCAAGTATCAGGATGAGAAGGTACTTAAAGCGAGAATTTCAAATTTTCTAAGAAATTCAAAACATAATTATTTCTATGTCTTTTGCTCAATAGGTTATCAACTCACTATTATACGATCATGGGCATTATTTCCCATCCTTCATGGGCATTATTTCCCATCCTTAAAAATCTATGACACAGGAAATAACAACACAATTACCTCCCCTGTTTGCTATTGACAACATGGGGCAGCCATTTTCCAACGTCGGAATTTGAAGTTAAAAATGATATTTTTGCCAATTTCTGAGCTGGCAATAGCGAATTATAGGATTAATAGGATTATTCTTTAACAAGGTAGGACTGTTTATGGATACCATCTATTTTAAGGCTTTATTTTAATACATTTTAAAAATATAACTTGAAAATTTGAAATTGCAACTTTAACATCGACTTGACTTCACTTAGGTCACTTCGAGACTGACTTTTGGCCTATATCTTTATTTTTTATTTCAATAACACTCAGAGGTCTTCATAAGTGAACTGGGAGAAAACCCACAAAATTAGTAACGCATTAGTCCAGACAATATGAACGTGTGTACATATCTTAACTTCTGGCCACTTGAGAGTAGACTATGCGACGTTGACTATTAATACATCAATATAGAAATTCACTTAAACTAAGCTTACCTCTTTATCCTGTAATACAAACAATTAATATTTATTAATATTTAAAACAAATACGCAGAAACAAATCAACAATACTAGAATAGCTAAATATTTATATATTATTAATATTTATTCCACAATATTACAATTAGATATATTCTATTTACATTGTACAATATTGAAATTAGTGTAAAATGATCGGTAGCATTTTTACTCTTTAAATTAATAATAGCACTATATTAACTAATTATATTAATTATTGGGATTCATATTATAGACCAGTCATTTCTTACGCACTCAAATGAATGACTGATGGGTTGACACATAAAAAAGATTTATAATTTGATAAATATAGCTGGCTCTATTTGAAAACAAAATACCACCAGACCACTTATGATGGAAAAGTTACCATGACATATTTGGCATGAGTGACCAATCACGTGATTATTTACATCATAATAAGGCAATATAATAATTAATAGCTGTGAATCTGATCGTATATAACAAATAGAATGTGCGCTCTCGGGTAGACACCATGCAAATTTTTAGAGCATGTTGAGGCTTAAGAGACACCATCTAGATTGAGTTGACCCCACTGATTTGTAGGAGAGCCATATTGGATGTAATGTGTGTCTTCAGTAAACTCAATCTGCGAATTAGGGAGAGAGAGAGAGAGATAGAGAGAGAGAGAGAGAGAGAGAGTAACGTCCACTCGACACAAACTAGGTCATTTCGGGACTAACACATGGTTCAGTTTTATTTCAATAATTCGCTTGCTCATTGGGGTCTTTAGCAGTGGGATGAAACCGGAGGACCCGGAGAAAACCCACGAACTTGGACAGGCGAACCTACTCCTTGTCACGTACAAGCGGGGAATCGAAACTACACCAGGTGACTCAATGACAGACCTTATGATACACCGGGCACGCCCTAACCATTCGGCCATCCACCCTGCCCAAGCGAATTAGGGTGTGGATAGACAGACATATAAATTTTAAGTACTGTACTATAATGTTACCTATGCTTGTAACCGATGAAATATAGAAACAAACTGATATTTTTTATTCGGGTAGCTAGCCATAAACTGGGTAAGCGGATAGAAGAAAATACAGAACGTGAGTACTAAGAAGAGAATGAGAAGCAAATATAACCAGAGACAATATTAGCGATCACAAGGCTATTAAAATATGTAGCAGAGAAGAGAGTATGCGTCACACATCGGCTGTGGGAAGCTACCCCATGTACTTTCCATATCTAACCAGCGACGCATAGCACTACTTTAGATATATTATTTTATTTTAAAGGAGCTAAATCGCTAATAATTGGGACGTACTGTCTGAACCATCGTAAAGTTTAAACAGATTTCCGTTTAAAATTTACGATGTTCACACAGTAGAAATTGACACAAATTACATTTAAAAATGAATATGAATGTATATAAACTGATTTACATTCAATTGTTTCTGTTTTTACTGTGATAATCAGTTATGTTCCGCAAAATACGCCAGAAGTCTCAATCACTGCCATCTAGTTATTCCAGTCTACAAGAAGCCCATTTTCCTGGTAAGATCACAACATCAACGTTGATTTAAATTGAAAAATAATTTGTGTTTTCGATGTCGAAGACTTTGGATGATATCAAGTTATTGACCTAGCTACTTTAAATTATCTTTGATCGTTCTTGATAATAATTACATGACAATAATAATAATATAATAATAATATAATGAATTTATAAAACGTCTGCATCCCAGTAAAAATTACTGCTCCGCGGCGCTATTACATTTTGTTAAATAAAATAAAAATTGAATTATACATATAATAACGGAAAATTTAAGAAATGTGAAGTTATTAAAATGATAGCGCAAGCATTATATAAAAATTACCCACTACATGATGTAGTATTAGTATATTCCTATATAATAATTTAATAACTTACCTCTGGTAAAATTCCTCACTATAAAACAAACAAATATATAATATTTATTATCATCAAATATAAACATGATTAAAACACAGAATATAAAATATAAATAAATGATCAATAATGATTAGATTTTATTGTCTCTGTGCAGTATGATTAGTATTCATACAGTGGTTTAGTAGGCGTGCTTTTGCTTACTTTGAACATTTAATTTCATGACGATAATGATAAAGTGTTCAGGTATTATTCTGATCTTAAAAGGTACTTCTCCGCTTGTATGTGACAAAGAGAGTAAATTTTCCCCCCACTGCTAAAGACTCCTACGCGCAAGCGAATTATTGAAATAAAATTGAACCATTTGTTAGTCCCGAAATGACCTAGGTTGTGTCGAGTGGACGTTAAACCCCATTTCTCTTTCTCAATAAAGTCCTGTTTTCTTCTTTTACTATTAAACATATTACCAGGTGCCAATAATTACCCAGTGCCTATATACTGTATAAGTGATGTTATGTTTTTCGAATAAGTTTGTTTTTAATAATCAAGCGATGGGAAGTTGGGGTTGTTGTGTGTAACACGGAAGAGGGCTGTATTTTTTAAAAGTCGTTGGGAGATGTCGGCTTTCCAATACAAATGAAATGGGGCTGTACGTCCTACTTTTCTGCAACTTTCCAAATTATACACTAGCACAATGAAGATAGATAAAAAAAAAGGTTTCAATTGGGAATTGATAAATTTAAATTTTAGAAATTATACGATAGCACGACATTTACAAATTTAGAATTTTGAGTCGAACGAATTTTAAAGTAAAACCGAAAGTAAATGACATGGAAATTCAAAAATCGGCTCCCCACAAACTGTTGCCATTTAGAGTAAGTTCAAAACATAAAAAAGTATTCGAAAATCGGAATCAAAATTGCGACTGGATATCGATTTGACGTTTTTCTGTAAATCAAAATATGGCAGCCAAACCGTTGAAAATGTTATGGAACAAGATAATATGTAATTTTTAGTCTATTTTAAATTGAGACAACTATTCATGTTCTGGAAATATCGGAAGGCCCCGGTCATTTCCGGAAGCCGCCATAAAAATTTTAATATACAATGCGTACATTGTCAGAAAAACTAAATCAAGATCACACATCACCCCAGTCTGGAACAGATTGCATTGGCTCCGTGTTCAAAAAAGGATCAAATATAAAATCTCATCGTTAACCTATCGCTCGATAAACAAATCCGCGCCAGGTTACCTTCAAAATCTAGTATCACTGTATCAACCAAAACAACCATTAAGACCAGAATGGAAACTATTATTGGATGTAACTGCCTATAATTTGAAATCATTTGGATCCAGAATTTTTCAAAACAGCGCATCAATTCTGTGGAATGCACTTCCAGAAGTTATCCGACAACGTGAAGCTGTGCCCGTTTTTAAATCCAAAGTGAAAACTTAGTTATATTATTAATACTCCGAAGTGAGAACATTTTCTAGCGCCTAGTACACCCCCCCCCCCCCCCGTGGATTAAATAGTTGCGCTATACAAATATAATTTGTATTATTATTATTATTTTGAAGGCATCCATGTGTTCATTAGTCCCACCAAGTTGCAAGTCGATCCCTCAAATACCAAAGGAGATACGCCCTGTTGACTGTCGAAAGTATGCGGACAAAAATTGTCGCAAAACCTTGATACTAAAACTATTCGAGAGAACTTCCAAATTTTGAAAAGCCGTTAGTCAGAGCCCATGTGGGATTCGTCCAAAGAATCAAAAATGAAACCCGATGAAAATAGTTCATACTGGCAATCTGAGATTATTTTTGTCCTATTGTTATAAAAACTCTTACGAAATCAATACGTTTTTCGTACCGAATTACCCACACACTTAAACAAAAATCTTTGTAAAAACAAGTAATAATATAATCTAATGTTACCTTCCCGCTGATTTATTTGGATTAACTTTCGTCTTTACGTACTGTATCTCTTCTTGTTGGATATTAATGGAGTGTTGTAATCCTCTAATATTTTGCTTGTTTTCAGCGTCTGCCTGCTCTAATTGTCTGAATATTTCTGGTTGTTCCCCAAACTTATCTTGTAGTATGTTCATCGCTTGCTGAAAGTCTTGGATGGTTTGCTTCTGTTTCGTGTCTGACTCCTGTAGTGTGTGTATTGCTTGCTGGTGTTTTTCAATGGTTTGCTTCTGTTCCATGTCCGCCTCCTGTAGTGTGTGGATCGATTGCTGAAGTTCTTGAATGATTTGCTTCTGTTTCGTGTCAGCCTCCTGTAGTGTGTGGATCGCTTGCTGTTGTTCTTTGGTGGTTTTCCTGTTTGCTGTGTCTGCCTCCTGTATCGCTTTCTGATGGTCTTGGATAGTTTGCTGCATCCCATCAATGGTCTCCTGTTGTTTAGTTAATCTTTTCCCAACCTTATCCGGTAGTATGTTTATCGCTTGCTGAAGTTCCTGAATGGTTTGCTTCTGTTTCGTGTCTGCCTCCTGTAGTGTTTGTATCGCCTGCTGATCTCTTTCAATGATTTGATTGTGTGATGTGACTGACTCCTGTAGAGTGTGTATCGCTTTCTGATATTCTTGGATGGTTTCCCTGTGTCCCGTGTCTTCCTCCTGTAGTGTGTGTATGGTTTTCTCATATTCTTTCATAGTTTGCTTGTGTTCCGTGTCTGCCTCCTGTAGTGTGTGGATGGTTTGCTGATGTTCTCGGATGGTTTGCGTGTATTCCGTGTCTGCCTCCTGTAGTGTGTGAATGGTTTGCTGAAGTTCTTGGATGGTTTGCTTGTATTCCGTGTCTGCCTCCTGTAGTATTTTTATGGTTTGTTGCAGTGCAGTAAACCGATCCTCAATAACATCCAATCTTTCCGTTTGTTGTTTATTAGATTTCCCCACTTGTACATTTGTGCAGTTCGTAATGTGGTATGTTTTCCCCTTCTGTAATATAAAAGTTCATGTCCTAAATTGACGTTTTAAGTTTACCCATGATGTGCTTGTGCTGATAAATGCATTTAAAGTCGATTTGCGAGGCCGACCAATGGTGACCTTTGCCCTACTCAGAAGCGGCCATTCCCACAATTGATCACTCAGAAGGGCACCTCAAGGAACAATTTGATACCTATTTGTGCTTGCACTGAGATATGCATTTAATGTAGATTATGCGTGGCCGATCAATGGTAACCTGTGGCGTACTCAGAAGTATGTTACCCCCCCCCCCCCCCACAATGGATTAATCAGAAGGATTTATGTTGTCATTTTGAATCCTAAAGAACAATTTGATACAGGGTCGTGGATGTACCCGATGTGTTATAAAGCCAATTTTGGCCGAAATGTGAACAGCGTACCCTGTTGGTGTCCCCAAAGCATTACTTAAGAGTTGGGGTGGGGGTGGGGTATCATGTAAATTAAATCTTTGCTAGCCCCAGGGGTCTACGTTATTTGGATAGAAGATGTCATAACATCAAAATGACCACCGACATAGAATGCCAATTACTGTAAAGGGTCTCTTTAAATAAAAAAAACAACAAACCGAGATGGTCATCACAGACTAAGGAGAAATGAAATGATATCAAATGGAGTTTTATGGCACGTCAAACCGAGCTATGATGCTGCTCAAAACATAGGGCGAAATGTGAGACAATCTGAAGTATATCACAAAACAAAATATATATATATATATATATATATATATATATATATATAAATAAAAACAAATATCACAGTTATAGATTTATAAAATTAAAAACAACATACAAATATATATATTTATAAAATAAAGATAATAATGATACTTTAAATATTTATATGTATTTTGATATTTTTTTAATCTGAAAATATCTTTAACTGTAATAAAAGTCTGTCACTTTAAAATTATGATTGCAATATAAACGCGGTTAGACTCACATCAAATTCCATATGCCTGGGCATATTTTACGTCCACACCAATGTGTACACGTGATCTGTTTGTCATCCCGTCGGAACACCCGATGAACCTCCTTGGCCAAAACCGACGTCCAACAAGGGATCCCAGGTTAGCGAGCCACCGCGGCTCAATGGTACATAAACGGTAATATACAATAATCATAACTTTGATCCGTTAACTTTTGTAGACCTTTGTTCCCAGTACCCGAGTACCGCGCAGACATAAATGTAACATAGTACATTTTGTTACAGGTAACCGAGTAGATGTTAACCTACTTTTGGAGTCTTGTTCCTCGCTCCACCGATAATATCATCTTCACTTGAAGTAGTTTCTTCATCAGTACCATCTTCCTTTGTCTTAAAGATTAATTTGTAAGCATTATTATAATACATATAATCAATGATGAATACTTTCATTTAATTTTAATTTTGCAATCTTCAACGGTACTTATCTAATAAGCATCCATCATAAAAAGCATCGCATTCGACTTTTGGTCCGTGTCAATATTTAGTGACAGATCCTAGTAGAATCCACAAAGATGTTGGCGATTAGGAATTCTACCATTCTTGTGATGTCGTCACATGTGTAACGTTAGTCTGGCAGCAATAAAACAGGTATTGATCAACAAAATAACCAATATTTTCCACTAATATCTTTATCCATCAAGTGAAGACAGATTTACTTGATTGCGGTAAATTAGATTAAAAAATCTAACATGCTATCGTCTAATTTCTTACTTCTATTTGTGAATTTCTAACTTCTATTCATGTAATTTCTACATCAAGACAATGTACATGTATAACCCAACTTCTTTATTTGTTCAGTGTAAATTTTAATTCTATTTCATATTATTTCTATCATTGATGCTTTACACTTTTATCATGAACATCAACGACTTTACAATGATGGTTGCTAGGAAGAAGTTTCAAATAATAGAAATAAGGTCAAACAGAATTAAAATTTACACTGAACAAATAAAGAAGTTGGATTATACATTGTCTTAATTTATAAATTATATGAATGGAAGTTAGACGATAGCACGGTCGAATTTGAAATCTTATATACCGCCATACTACTTGGGAGCATGATTCACCATTTGGCTCGTTGGGGCTGCACAGGATACCATCGTACAACTGATGCACCCGTACGCAGCTTGTAACTACGAAGCCGAAATAGTTGGTTCCATCTAAATTTGGAATTCATAGCACAATAAGTGTATAGAAGACCGTGGACTAACAGTCATTTGTAGACAACGAATACAGAGTCTGGACTTAAAATATATTTACAAGGAGAGTCGTCACTAATAGTCGTTATTAGACAACAAATATATTTACAGTGAGACAAATATTTACATATTGTTCTGATGCTTTTCATGATGAAATTATAATTCTTTTATCATTCTGTGGGCTGTTCTTTAAATATCATTATTACACAGTTGAGTACATGTGTGATATTGCATTATGTTTATGTTATTCTCACATCATACCGGGGTGACGTCCTTAATACGCTGATACGTCGACGGAAAATGGTCTCAGAGCGCGCCTAGAGCGCCATAAGCGTCGTGAAAGCGTGGTGGAAACGCCAGATATCGTGCTGTGGTCTCCTTGGTAGTAAATGATCGCCGGGTCACGGTGTTTGTTTTAAGCATGCTCAACACAATCGCCAAGGTTTTGCGATCTGCGAGAAACATGGCTTTTTCAAGTTTGTAAGTTTTTGGGACATTTTGTCGCGTTGAGTTCACGTTTGCCGGCGACCTTGCGAAGTCTCTGGTCGCCGAACGGTCGCAGCAGCGCAGTAAGGACGCCACCCCAGTCTGACGGGGGCATTACGTATACCAGTGAGAACAGGAAGACCAAAACACACAACAAATAGACATAATTTACCTGTGGACTGTTTATCTGTACTAAGGTATTTTCCTCTATCTGATATTCATCAGAATTATTTTCTGTTAACTGAAATTAAAAACGTGAGTTAAGGTCTACTAACAAATGAAATGAAATGGGGTTTAACGTCCTACTCCTATACTGGGCTAATGAAGACGGGCATACGTCATACAGTGTGCTATGAGGGAAATTTTGCCCGGGCAGCGGCACTATTGCCTACACTTATATCGAATTCCAACCGCCAAGGGTTCTTTTACGTGCATTCCAATGTATACACGGGACCTCGGTTTTCCATCTCATCTGAAGGACTAGACAGCTGTCCTTGTCAGGCCCTCCGTTCTGCACAACTGACAAGCGGAAACCACGCCGGAAAATCTGGATGAACTTTCTCGGCCAATGCAGGGATCGAACACCCGACCTCCATGCTAGCGTGCCAGCGTCTTTACCACCTAGCCACCGTGGCTGCGTCTACTAACAAGGTCCAAATAATGGCCATGTTTAATCCCGGTGTTGGCCAAGAAAGTTCATCGGGATTTTCCGGCATAGTTCCCCTTGTCAATACACGGTGGCTAAGTGCGTTCGGAAGTTGGCTCGCTAACCTGAAGGTCGCGTGTTCGATCCCTGTGTTGTCCGAGAAAGGTCATCTGGATTCCCGGTGTGGTTCCCCCTTGTCAGTGGTGTAGGGCACAGAGCAACGTATAGATTTTTATATAAAAACAATATTGTTATTCTCAGCAAAGGATTGAGGAACAGGCTAGGCCTATATTATCTCCGATGCCCCGTGTACACATTGGTATGTACGTAATAGAATCATTGAAAGTTAAAATTCGAAATAAGACGGTCATCACACCGCTGTCTTGGCAAAATTTCCCTCATATCACACTACACATTACCCCGGACATAGAGACAAGACGTTAAACCCCATTTCATTTCATACTATAATGTTTGAACCATAATAAAGTGAATGACAATATACATGATCTGTACATACATGTAGGAAATGAAACTAGAACTGCGTAAAAGCTGTGGTGACGTGTATCGGTACGTCAGGTCACGACTGGTCATGTCAACAGTCAAGTTACACCATGAAGGGATACTTGACACGCCAGCGCCAAACATGATGTACAATGCGAGACAAACCACATATATAATTGCAATCTATTTTTATACATTTTATCACAGAAGAGTAAATGAACTAAACATATTTATAAACGAAACAATCGAAAACAAATAAAGTACACAATCACATAAAGGCGAGGTCTCACTCGTATATTGTTTCGGTGAAGATCGCTGATATACAAACCACTGTATTTATTATATTGATCAAAACGAATGTTACTTGGTCTTTACAACATAATATAAACAATATACATGACTACTTACATCTTCCGACATCGTTATTCCTTGCAATAATTAATAGTTCGATTCCCAGCCAGACGTATAGCTATGGGGAACCCCCTATAGTATTGACGCGTGTCTCAAGTCTCTTTCACAACACTGTTCGTACTATTGTAGATACTGGAATATCGAGACTTTGCTTTCTAGGAATAAATAGCATTCGGCACACATAGTTACTTCGTCTAATATGGCTCAACATACTTCGTTTATTTCAAACGAGTTCACCCAATGCACAATCCCACCCCGATAAGTGCGTTTGGTTTAATATCCAGATAAAATAGACTTTGACTGATATAATTATAGACATATATTAAATTAACTAAAAGATTGTATATTTCTATATTTTATATAAATCACAGATTAGCTGAAATAACCAAAGCAGAATATTATCTTAGAATTGTTTGTTATATGTTAGATCAATCACTGGTTAGCTGAAATAACCAGATCAAACTTTTATCTACAGGTTAGTTGAAATAATATAGCAGCATTTTATCTATCAGATCAGATTTTATTTCTTAAGTCAATCAAAATAATACCGAGCATACACAATATGTATGCAATATTTAACTTTAAGCGTTAGCTGTCTTTTCACGGTTGGTTAATTCTGAACTATGTTCCTAGTGTGGAAAACCCGATAACTCATGAATTAGAATGTATGTGGAGTGAGACTACTAAGTATTTCCTCGTCGACGGCAATGTTAAATAATACGAAAGAGAGAACATATGGTTCAATTTTTATTTCAATACTTCGCTTGCGCGTAGGGTCTTTAGCAGTGGTGTAACACTATCTTTAGTATAACAAAGATCAGTTTCGTAAATATATGGTTTATTTACATTAGACGAAATCTCAGTAAAATACCGTAATTGACCAATGGACTGTCCGTATGGAAAAACATGCCAATATTATACGCGTCAATTAAATATATCTAGAATAATAGCAGAAAGAGACATGTTATATTAATCAAGTCAATATTACGGCCATAATACTTTGTAAACGCCTACATTTGTTATATGAATATTATCCTAGTTCATTGTGCTATGTTGGGTAAGCTTTATCTATCTAGAATACAATGCATAACTGATTTTACCCGACTAACACATTTACGTCGTTAGTATCATCATTATCATTTTAGTGTGTCACAGGGTATGTTTACTCTTTCTAGAACACATGATATCATTTTTAATAACCCCACGCGATAAAGACTACATTATTTTATTAACGGATTTTATTCAAGTTAGGTTTGAAGCATTGGGATCCTTTTAGTATACAGCAATCTTTTTGTCCCCCACTTTTCGAAGAAAGCAGGGGACTATTATATGAAATGGGTCTGTTCGTCTGTCCGTTTATCTGTCTGTACATCACACAGTTTGGGACACACTAACTCTCCTTCTATTTAAGCTAGAATGTTTAAACTTGGTGTCGGTGTTTATTAGTCGTATGCCTTGATGGACTTGGAGATGAGCATTGTCTACTTAGACGAATCAGAGATTAGTAATTTGATTGGTGGATGCTTTGTGACACGATAATTGTGGTTCTAATTAAGTGAGGGTGATGAAACTCGGTGTAGAGTTTCATAATATAAATATCTCGATAATGAGCATTTTCGGCCTAGGGTTAGCAGAGCGATAGGCAATTTGATTGGCCAAGATTTCGAAGGTCGATAACTTTGATTCTAATTGAGTGAGAGTGGTGAAACTGTGTATGCAGTTTCTTTACATCACCACCATAACTAAACGAGAATATGGTGAAATTTCCAGCCAAATTACTTCACATGGAACCTAGATATAAGCCTTCCCATTAATAGTCTAGCCTCGATTGCCATTCCCACCGTTTTCAAGATAATAAACAAAGTTTCGATTATCCATTTTACGATAAGCACATCCACCACAAAACGTATTTAAATTCGTAAGTTAATTAATGTCTAATTAATAATTTATATAACATTTCAGACCCGAAGAAAGACATACAATAGGCAGATTTAGCTCTCGCATAATGTATGTTTAATAAGTATGTATCATCTATTTATTTTGAGTTATCTGCGAGGGCGGGGGACACCAGCCTCAATATTGGCTTGTTCTCTTCTATATTACAATTTTTAAAATATTTTGAACTTTTTTCCCCACTAATCTCTAGATGCAATTGCTTATTCAGTTAACTGGGTAGACTAAAAGTGGCATTATGGGAGATTTGATAAAGAGCTGACAATTCTCGCTGTAATAGTTAAAGAATATATAACGTAAATAGAATATGCTAAAAATGTCAGTCAAATTACTCCACTCTGAACCGAAGTATTAGCTTTTGAATTTTAGTCTAGCCGCGATCATCAAAGTCGGTACGATATAAATTAAAGTCTCGGTTATACATTTTTACGTTTTATTATTTTTCAAAACATATATTCCAAATATCACAGGCTAGCGATGGCATCGAGAGTTAATTATGGTCTGGACAAGTTAATTAATGTCTAATTCAAATTTAGATAACATTTCAGACCTAAAGAATGACTTACAATAGGCAGATGTAGCTCTTGCGTAATGTATGTTTAAGCTAGAAACTAAAAACAAAAAAAAAGTATCCAAACTGATTGACCCGAGCCATCGCTCTGTATAATGTACCCAGGACATAAGGGTATATTTGCTAAGTTACACAAAAAAAACCTTCAAAGCCTTAAAATTGGGTATATACGTACATTATACAGAGCTAAATATTCATAATCGGTAACGCGTTATACGACACTTTAATGTGTGTCAATTTGTGTTCAGAGTTACAACCGAGGTTTATCCTAGATAAAGCTCTCATGTGTGTAGCTATTGGATATAAGAGTATATTCAACTGGTGTGACCTTGACACAGCTGATATAGCCAACATTATATATTATACTTAGGCTGTTTAATGTACACTATAAATGTAAATATGTACATACATATATGATGTGTTAATGTATATATCATAAGACGAGTTTGGTAGTGTAGTAACTAAAACCGAACATGTCAAATCTTAGGAAAAGTGTCTGTATTATCGGGGCTGGTCCGAGTGGATTAGCGTGTTTAAAGTATTTAACAGAAAGTCCAGAACGTTTTACAGTTCAGGCGTATGAACAAGGAGCAGAGTTAGGAGGCTGTTGGGTTTACACAGATGAAACGGGTCAAGATAAAAATGGATTTCGAATACATAGTACCATTTACGACTCAATCAAGTACGTATAATAAATTAATCACAAGTTTGTACTAATTTTGAGACTAACAAAGCAGTTACTCCAAGGTTTTAACCCGGGTGGGGGTGGATGGCCGAATGGTTAGCACGTGCGCGCTGTATCATAAGGCCTGTCAATTAGTCAACTGGCGTGGTTTCGAATACCCGGTTGTACGTGACAAGGAGTAGGGTCGCCTGTCCAACCTGGTGGGTTTTCTCCGGGTCCTCCGGTTTCCTCCCACTGCTAAAGACCCCTACGCGCAAGCGAATTATTGAAATAAAATTAAAAACCATATGTTCGTCCCGAAATGACCTAGTTTTTTGTGTCGACTGGACGTTAAACCCCATTTCTCTCTCTCGCTTTCTGTTTAACCCGGTTTGGGGAACCGTGGTGGTTTAGTGGGTATAACGTCGGTTCCTGAACCAACCTGAAGGTCCAATGTTCCATCCCGGCGTTGGCAGCGAAAGTTGATCTGGATTTTCCGGCGTGGTCCACCCTTATCAGTGCTTCTGTGATGCAGGACGGGGAAACTGGGCAAAGGACAACGTATACAAGGACTCTTTAAAAAGCTTAGTGTGCATGTATGCCTACGTGATTTGGAAACGATGATTACAGCATGCATTGTCAACTGTCACATTTCCTTAACAAGAACCTGTCAAACCCCCTCCTGCAAAAATTCCTGGATCTACCCCTGCGTATAATCGTTAAGATATGACGTATAGGTCCCTGCATACGTTGGCGTGTACGTAAAACAACTCCTTGGCAGTTGGAAACGAATTTTCCGAATGCTAAACTGTAAATGACATCATCTCGTGAACAAAATACTGTTGAAACCAAGGGATCTTGTACGTGCATGTATAGGGGACTTCAGTCTTTCGTCGTATCCGAACAACCACACCAGGCGCGTAACCAGGGGGAGGCGCAGGCAAACATTTCCCCCCTCCCCCTGTGAAAAAATTGTCGCCAATAAAAAAATTGATATACATTGTCCGTCAATTTTACAGTACCCCTGAGAACACTTCTCGCCCCCCCCCCCTGGTTGCTCTGAGATAGTTACGGCCCTGAACCACACGCTGTATCGTGCACCACGCCAGAAACTCTGGTGGCTCCTTTAAAAATTATGAAGCTTCGACATAATAAGGTACTAAATTTGATGTTTTCACACACGCAAACTAAAGACAACAATTATTCTCCTATTCAACGCAAGAGAGAGAGAAATGGGGTTTAACACAAACTGGGTCGGGACTAACACATGTTTCAGTTTTATTTCAATAATTCGCTTGCGCGTGGGAGTCTTTAGCAGTGGGAGGCAACCGGAGAGCCCAGAGCAAACCAACGAGGTTGGACAGGCGACCCTACCCCTTGTCACGTACAACCGTGGAATCAAAACCATGCTAGTTGACTCCATGACAGACCTTACGATACTACGAGCAAGCGCTAATTATTCGCCCCCCCCCCCCTCTAATTCAACGAATAACTTGTCTTAATTAGCATATGGTTATTTATGTTTGAAGGTTTAACAAGACGTGTGCAATAATTTCAACCACCGCACTGGTTGTTCGAAGCTAAGTCCCGCTCCCCCATTTTTAGCTTAAATCAAAATATCGCTGAACTGTTCTAATCTATTAATATCGAAGAAATCCGATGCCATCGAGAGTTGATTATGGCCTGGATAAGTTAATTAATATCTAATTAATAATTTATATAACATTTCAGGCCTAAAGAAAGACCTGCAATAGGCAGATTTAGTTCTTGCATAATGCATGTTTAAACTAAATGAAGTAAAACTATTATATTTCATTCTGACTTTCCTATATTGATTTGTGTACACAGTCAGTGTCTATTTCTTTTATATTTCATTCTGACTTTCCTATATTGATTTGTACAGTGTGTATTATTGTTCTGACTGTCCTATATTGATTCGTACAATGTTTATTAATTTAATCGACATTTCTTTGTTTTTAGGGTTAATACACCGAAAGAAATTATGGCATTTTTAGATTTCCCATTTGATGAAAACCTACCGTCATTTTTTGGTCATAAAGAAGTGCTGCGATATTTGAACCATTATGCTGATAATTTCCAACTAAAACAACACATCCAGTTATTACAGTTTACATGATTAATAGATTCAAATATAGAGACAAGTCCTCAGAAAGGAAGACATTTTACATTGTAAATATGCAAAATTAAGTAAAATTAGGTAAGAATAGCACTGTTAACAGCGATAATTTCAAATCCCCCACCCCCTTCAAAAAGCAAAAAAAAAAACAACAAAAAAAACAACATTTATTCACTCGATTATTAACAGCGATAATTTTCCCACCCCCATCACCTAACAAAAACAACACTTATTCACTCTTCGATTTGACCCCGCCCCTTCCACTCCCAAAATAATAATATGCATACACGGGGCTTTCTCCGCAGGCACTGTCTGCCATAGACAAACATCTCTTATTACCGTTATAAAATCCGTGAAAATCTGGTCCAACTCGAGGATATGGACACACACCCTCTTACATTCTGGGGGGTTGGATGGCCGAATGGTTAGCGTGTGCGCGCTGTATCATAAGGTCTGTCATTGAGTCAACTGGCGTGGTTTCGATTCTCCGGTTGAACGTGACAAGGAGGAGGGTCGCCTGTCCAACCTCGCGGGTTTTTCTCCGGGTCCTCCGGTTCCCCCCCCCCCACACTGATAAAAACCCCTCTGGCGATGATGGTCTGTTGTTTTAAGACTTAAAGAGGACGAGGGATTAATCGGTTTTAAAATAAGGGGTTTTTTTTGTTAGTTTTTGTAATATATTTATTATACTACAGCTAATATATTTATTTGAGGTTGTTGTTTATTATTAACTAGCGATGATTACCTGTTATTTTAGAGTTAAAGACAAAGAATCACTCGGTTTTAAAATAAGGTTGTTTTTTGTTAGTTTATGTTGAATATGTGTTATCTTACAGTTCAAGATGGGGTTGTTGATGTTTATTATCAGCTGACGATGACTCTGTTATTTTATAGTTATATATAATTGTCGTTGTTGATCCCTGGATCAATCTGTTTAAATATCTTATAAATGTGTTGTTGTGTACCATACATTATTGATGATGGATATATATTAATTTACAGTTCAACACAAGAGTTGTCAAGGTCAGAGCTAAACATATTGGTGACGGGTTGTGGGGTACGAAATGGACTGTGGAAGTTCAGCCATCAGATGAATTATCAGCAACTACGGAGAAAAGGGAATTTGATGCAGTTATAGTTTGTAACGGGTACGTACGTAATAACTAAATCATCGTAGAAAACAGGTTTAGAAAATCAATTGGTAGAATGGGTATGCAAGCAAACGATAATTGTCCTCGGCTCATTCGATATATGTCACACCCCTTTCCGCTGACTATCAATATGTGTCCCGAAGTCACTTTCTAGTTTGGCCATCCTCAATGTTGATTCAGAGAGCTGGATCCTTAAAGCATGCCCCGATCACCAGGGTTTCTTCAAAACCTCTAAACACTGATTACGCACGTTAAATTTTAATCTAAAATTGACAAATCGAAATGGTTTGTCTTTTGGTTCGTCCACACAATGAACATGCATACTGTATATTTCGTTTCCGTACCAGGCACTATGTAGAACCAAACATCCCTGAATATGAAGGCTTTAATGAATTTAAAGGATTGAAGATCCATGGTAGAGATTATCGTCATGCAGATCCATTCAAAGATAAAACTATATTGGCAGTGGGTGGATCATTATCAGGATGGGATATAACCCTAGACGTTGCGCCTGTAGCTAAACACATCTACCTCAGTTATTGGAAGGAACACAGAGTAACCAAGTTCCCACAGAACGTTGAATTGGTAACCGGCGTGAATAAATTTACAGAGAATGGAGTTGTCCTAACAGATGGAAGAGAACTGACAGTCGATGCTGTCATTATGAATACTGGATATAAACACAACTTTCCTTTTCTGGATCCTGATTGTGGTATTGAGATCACCAAAGATAATACTGTTAGACCTCTTTATAAACATGCCATAGCCATCAGGAACCCGACCTTGTCGTTTATGTGTATATTTGATTGGGTTCTGCCGTTTATCTGCATGTCATTACAAGCTAAATTTATAAAGATGATCTTGGAAGAAACACTGAAACTGCCCCCCGAAGAGGAAATGATCAAAGCCGAAGAAGCTGAATTACAGAAGGTCTTAGATCGTGGCTGGCCCCAGCGATATCTTCATAGATTAGACGAATTTCAATTTGAATACTTTGATGATCTTACAAATTATATGCAACTGGAACGTCTACCTCCATGGGTATTCAAGCTGGCATTATTTCATTTGACTTATTTATTTAAAGATTTGGAAGCTGCTAAAATGGTCAATTATAAAGTAATAGAACCAGATAACTTTAAAACCACTATTCAATAACAGATTTAGAAGCATCTAAAATGGTAAACTATTACATATAGACTCGATATAATGATTTCTGCGGCGTTTCTTTGGATATTCAAATTAACGAAATGTAATCTGACCTATTCCAATTCAAGCCCTGCAAAATATTTTAACAATCAAAAGGCTTCGCATATTGTATTACAATTACGTATGATTGGTTCAAGACTTGAATTAATGACGTCCCTCGTGGCCTATCATATTACCACCAGTTCTATATAGATTGATCAAAATATAAATAAATTCATATTCTTTACGGACTTGTCTACATCCCAAGGCATCATGAAGTTAACGTTGTATTGTTTGTGTTTATTCGGTAAGTTGTTTTATGGTTTCTTAGTTAGTGGACAAAAGGGGTAATCCCGTATTTTTTTATCAGTCTATATACGTGGACGTAAAAAAACCCTTGGTAATAGGAGTCAGAAAACCAAAAAGCGCCAACGCTACAGTATGGGTACTATTGTCTTTCATGATATTGCGCACATAAACATAATAAATATAATATATTGTCACCCGGCAAACCTCAGCAGATTCGAGTACCCTACATCTAGCCTCGGCTGTATGACGAATTCCGCCATTGGAACTACTTTCAAGTTCCCGGATTACCAACGGCGTTGCGCATGACGACTCCTTTGAAGAATGTTTTTTCATACAAATATTTCAAGTTTATCAGAATTTCTTCATACAAGGACAACTTTGCTCTGAAAATCTAAACATGCTTTAATAACTTCTTTTTAAAAGCGGCAAGTGTTCCTAATAAGTAAACCGGTGCTGCATCGCAATTGTATATACGTAGGCATCGCAATTGTATAGGCTAGATGTAGAGTAACGGAATCTGCCGAGGTTTGCCGAGTGAATATATTGTATTACTAGTCACAAAATGACCGAGGCTTGGTGGCCAAATGGTTAACGCGTGCCCGTTGAATCATAAGGTCTGGTATTGAGTCAAGTGGTGTGAATTCTATTCCCCGCATTTACGTGACAATGAGTGGGTTTTCTCTGGATCCCTCTTTCTTCAAAAACACTGATTAACTTTATATAATCACAATGATTATCTATACATGAATAATTGAAAACAAATTGAAAACAAATATGTATATATTTATTTTAAAAATAAACATGAAATCAAGTTATATAAAACAATTTACATTTTCTATAAAACTTTGTCTGTTTTAAAAAGTATTCTAACTTGACCATATAGGCCCGGTTGGACAAACACTTCCTGTAACGTCTATCAACGCTAATTCTTCGAATAAATGGCGTTGGGACGCTTTACATTGAATCGGAACGTCCATAAGCATGACTAAATATTAATTGTGAAGGTCCTCAAACCAGATATTATTTGTTTGTCGCGAATAAATTATTTCAACAAATACTAAAGAAGAAAAAAGACCGAGGCTGGGTGGCCAAATGGTTAACGCGTGCCCGTTGAATCATAAGGTCTGGTATTGAGTCAAGTGGTGTGAATTCTATTCCCCGCATTTACGTGACAATGAGTGGGTTTTCTCTGGATCCCTCTTTCTTCAAAAACACTGATTAACTTTATATAATCACAATGATTATCTATACATGAATAATTGAAAACAAATTGAAAACAAATATGTATATATTTATTTTAAAAATAAACATGAAATCAAGTTATATAAAACAATTTACATTTTCTATAAAACTTTGTCTGTTTTAAAAAGTATTCTAACTTGACCATATAGGCCCGGTTGGACAAACACTTCCTGTAACGTCTATCAACGCTAATTCTTCGAATAAATGGCGTTGGGACGCTTTACATTGAATCGGAACGTCCATAAGCATGACTAAATATTAATTGTGAAGGTCCTCAAACCAGATATTATTTGTTTGTCGCGAATAAATTATTTCAACAAAAACTAAAGAAGAAAAAAGACGAAAAGTCCTATATTATATGGAACACTTTCATAGTGCGCCATTGACTATATATTTTCCAAAGTGTTCTAGGCCGACAAAATTCATGTGGGGTGAGGTTGTTGAAAGAATATTCTGTGTTATCTAATACCCCCGTCAGACCGGGTGGCGCCCTTACTGCGCTGCTATAGCGACGGAAAATGGTCTCAGAGCGCGTCAAGATCGCCATAAGCGTGGCGGAAAGCGTGGTAAGGCGTGTTGGAAAAGCCAGATATCGTGTTGTGGTCTCCATATCCCCGTCAGACCGGGTGGCGCCCTTACTGCGCTGCTACAGTGACGGAAAATGATCTCAGAGGGCGTCAAGATCGCCATAAAAGTGGTGGAAACGTCAGATATCGTGTTGTGGTCTCCATGGTCGCAAATGACCGAAGAATCACGGCGTTTTGTTTAGCATGGTCAAAACAAATGCCAAGATTCTACGACACTACCTGGAAGGCTGTGAGAACGCGGCTTTTTTGGGGACATTTTCATGCGTTGTGTTCACTTTCTTAGTCGCCGTGCTATCGCAGCAGCGCAGTAAGGACGCCACACCGGTCTGACGGGGGGCATAACATCTACCAGTTTAATGAATTATTTAGATGACCGCCCCCCGCCCCAATAATGTAGTGATATGGTGTACCAAATTTAAATGTAACGATCGGATGCAATAATGGCACTTATTGGTATTTCATATGTATGAACTATTTCTGACTCCAATGAATGAAGTCAATTGTTTGCTCTCTGTTCTTATTTTTCCAGTTTTATTCGGAGCAATAAGCTGCTATAAATTTCCTTCGTACAGGGTGTCTTGGCCGTCTCGAATACCGGTTAGAATACCTAGTGTGCCCCGAGTGAGACTAATTCGAACTAGTCGACTAAGTCAGGCTACTCGTCGCCAAGCGATCTCCATGGCCTCAGCATCTTCATCTAGACGACCAACCTCAAGAACAACAACTGGATTTATAAATGTACCGACAAAGATGACCCGAGTGAGACTAAGTCGAACAAGTCAGGCTACTCGTCGCCAAGCAATCTCAACGGCCTCAGCATCTTCATCTAGACGACCAACCTCAAGAACAACAATTAGATTTATAAATGTACCGACAAAGATGACCATCCGTTTTAGTTGCGAGATGGCCGGGCTCGTTTGCCAATCACCCATTAATTCAGCCAGCAAGCCTTCATGCGAGTAAGTAAAAATTTACACCTAAACTTAGTCTCAATCATCCAGACAATTTTTTTTACAAATATAGTCTGGATGGGTTGTGAACATTTTTATAAGTCAATGGCTAGATGACCTGGCGCCTGGTACGTTCGGGCATTTTTATGCGCGAACTCTTAGTTTTTTTTTACTGGCATGCGCACAGGTACTATTTCTTTTTCTTTTAACAAGTACCCAAATCGGGGATTTCGTGCGGAGGTAGTTCGGAGGTAAACAGTCTGTGAAGTACAACACTTGCCACTCTACCTGTGTATCGCTAATTATAAACCGAATGTGTGAAGACAGTTCATACATATCACTCAAAAATTTTTCAGTACAAACTCAGTTGATTCACGCTCGATTTGCTACTAAACAAACCCATCGGTTTATTTTCTCAACAGTGTGACCCGAAGTGACCGCGGATTTATTGACCTTGTATGAACTTATCCATAGCTATATCCTTACACCGAGAGAAATTATCTAGTCTCGGTGACAAGAACCATGGTCATCTGGTAGAAAATTACTTTTGTATTTTTTGGAACGGAAAACAGTGTTTTTAGAAGCAAACTAACCTGCCGCACATGAGGAAGTCATTATACTAATAATAAAAGGCGAGACCTCTTTTTGCGGCGCAGGCTTATCACTGAGTAGTAAACCGTCCACAAACAATAATATAGGAAGCCTAGTGACGAGTGTAGTAAGTAGGCTATAGACTATAGGTTTGAGTCGAGATTACTCGCTTTCAGTTTACTCTGTTTTTGCGATAACCAATTATGTGAGAAATACCATACTGACATTCGGTTTTTAAAAGTTGTACGCGAACTAAATGCGTTTGTTAGATACTGACAGAGCAGCCCCGAGTCGAACAATCGCCGCCCGAGCTGTCTTCGTCAGCTAGTTTCACAATATCGTGCAATAGGTGTATTAATGTGATTTTTAGGTTTAACCCCGCAAACAATGCCAAAATAGTGTTTTCACTGCTTACAGAAAACTGAAATTTAAAAAAAAAATTTTTATGAGGGTGACCCTCCCACACACTCCCTATCGAGCTGCCGCTCGGTCTGCGCAGCCTCATGCCTGGCACATACTGTCAACATTGTATATTTTTCCGTTTCCGCCCTCCCCCCCCCCACAATATATATTTCACGGCTACGTTGCGACGGTACCAGCATACCCAGTTGTTGACACCCATTACATCACTCCTGTCTAACAAATCATAAAGCTGTGGTGTTACGGTGGCAGCATAGTATTTCACCGTAACACCACAGCCACTCTAACCATTCATAATACATCTAAATATCCCTTTACAGCACTTCACTCCCTACACATTTCCCCTCGTCCTACTTTCCCAAACGTCAACAACACATCTCATAAATCCAGTTCGCTGATTAACCCTTGTACCACGTCTACTGGATTATCCGGTCTTTTATGTTATCAAGAACAAATTCTATGGTAGCTATAGTAGACAGCGCACGCGAAATCTCACCGTAGACCTATAATGGTCTAGGAACCATCGAGAGAGAATTGGCGTTTAACGTCCACTCGACACAAACAAGGTCATTTCGGGACTAACGTGTGTTTCAATTTTATTTCAATAATTGAGCTTAGAGGTCTTTAGCCGTGGGAGGAAACCGGAAAACCCGGCGAAAATCCACGAGGTTGGACAGGCGACCCTACTCCTTGTCACGCACAACCGGAGAATCGAAACCAAGGAACCATAGACATACTATTAATATTATTAGTATGTCTATTAGTAAGACGCCATTGTCACTATCTTGGAATTTTGACGTCATATCACAAACCGTCCATCAATCGATGAGAAATTGTCCAAGCAACACGCATGGCAAGTTTGAATTTGCGGAGGCCTCTTTGGAAGAGCTTTGCCTTTAGA